CAACCCCAAACCCCAAACCCAAACCCAACCCCAAACCCAAACCCCAAACCCAAACCCTAAGGAATCATTTTTTATAGATTATCTACTCAATTCATTTAAGGAAGGTATAGGCAATGGCTAATATATGACAGAATCTGATAAGCAATATAATTAATCAAAAAGATTTTTATATATTTCCTAACCGACACAAATGTTTTAGTTATCATCTTGGAAAAAATTAAATATGCCTCCTTCTCTTTAACTAGAAAAATTCCTTTTTATCAGATTAGAATAGTTAATCAAGTTTTTCTACTAACTCTAAATTATAATTCTTTAAAGTTAGTTTTCTCATTTTCATTCGACTTTTAGTTAATATTTATTGTTTTTATATCTAGATCTTGTATCTATAATAAAAATTCCTAAAATCATATGATTGTAACAGTTTATTGCATTCTGTTATTGCTAATTATTTGTTTATTCTTAAATATTAATTATTTCTAATGCCATTTTCATTCATATGTAATTAAAACTCTAATTAAATTAAGGCATGATCAGAGATTTTGGTCCATAATAATTTCGTTTTATGTTTTGCGTCTTTATTGATCAATACATGATCTGTTTTCTAAGTAACTTATTGACCGAGAATTGTTCTTTGAAAGGTTTCCCTAACTTGTATGAAATCCTTTAACCAAGGTGAAGGGCTATTTTAATAGTTGAAATCATCGCACAATATGAGGAATTGATTCATGTTCATTTACCTCATTATTTATAATAAAATTTCATTAAACCTTTTTTTATTTTGGTCAAGCAACTAAGCATTATTAAAATAAAAATTAATGATGATTAAATCTATAAATTAGTTAACTGCTCTTATTACCAAAATATTCAAGGTGTCTTTATTAATAATCATATCTAAGGAGTTAAAATCTCTATTTATGCCTGTAATTATACCCCCAGAATGAGTAGAACCAGTTCTTTTATAAAAATATATATAATTAATTGAATCGTTAAGTTAAGTATTTCTTACTTCTTATAAGCATATAATATGAGCGTTCTATTATTTTATGAAAAAGCGAGTTTCAGTTCTATAAGAACTTATATTCCAAGTTATAAAATTCATTTAAATTTCTTTATTTGTGTTCTTAGTGGAGGGTTAAAATTTCTATTTGATATCAATGGTTTCATTTCCATCCTTTTTAAAATCTTCTTTTCTTCTCTTATTTATCATTATCTTCCATTACTGACATTTTTTAGAGAGCATTTTATAGGTTTAAAAGGAACTGTATGGTCTTTTTTTACATTTTTTATAAAAGAGCTGTTCCCTAGGATATCTGAGCTATATTCATCTTATTATTTTTTATTTGTTGATTATTTGATTATTGATTATTAATTCAACTTATCAGTGTCTGAATATTTCCTATATGATTATATTTAAACATTTTATTGTTTCTTTAAATAGGCTTGCTATATTGAAATTCCAGGATTTTTATTTTCTTCATTCCCAGAGATTTAAGTGTTTTAGTTTTGATTGATTTTCTCTTTTTAGCATGGTAGATGACAATAAATTTTTATACTTTTGACTTATTACATACAGGATTGTTTTATTGTATTTTCCTTGCTCTAGTAATTTCGAACTCCATTACACTTAATTTTCATTGTTAAGTGATGAAAAGTATTTATTATTTACTATCTAAGTTCTTTTTCATATATACCTAATATATATGATATAATTGTATATATCTATTTTGTCAATCTCTCACATGCTTAATCTCTAATTTCAAATAATTCATTTCATTTTAGATTATTACCTCATTTCTTAAAAGCTTAGAAAAGGATGAATTGCTCAATCGTTAATTATAAAGTCTTAATAGTCTCAACCATCCAATGTGTTGCATCAGATAGGACTGTTTGAATGAGTTAGTTATTGATATTTTTTGCTTAATGATGTAAATTCGCTATTGATTCAATTATTGTATTGGATTTGGTGGTAAATTCAGCTAAGAATTTACTTTACATAATGAAGATCACAATTTAATATTTTTAAAAAATTTGGATAGAATTTAACATTTATATTTTATAAAAATTTTTAATGAGCTAAATATATTTTTAAATTTCAATAAGTACCAGAGAAAATCGTGTAGAAATTGTATATTTAATATGGCTACAATTTTTAAATTACATACTTACCGAAAAGCTATTTCTACTTTATAGATGATCAGAGATATTAAGAATTTATAACAAATGGTTAAAAGCTTAAAGCTAAATCAAGGGCGAAATTCTATGTATAAAAAACTTTGGATAAATGAATTAGATTTTTATATAAAAAGTACAAATAACAAGTTTTAAATTTAAATTATAAAAATGCTATGAATTTCGGCTAAGAAGTTATTTCTATGTGATCTATATTAGGAATCTGAGATATGAGGTTAAATTAAGGGGGAATTCTTTATCCTAAGATATAGATAGTTTTTATGATAACAGTAATCAGATATAATATTTACCAACATCAAGCAAGATTCTAAAATAAAATAATGAACAGAATTTTACATTCATTATCTTCAATTTAAAATGATATTTTTATCATAATAAATTATTGCTCATATTTACCTATGATTTAATGAAGATTAATAACAGCAAAAGTGATGTATATAATTTGCAATTCCCTTCACTTTGCAATTATATACTCTTCTTTCTACTTATTTTACTTAATTTCATCTATTAATAAATTACTTAAAAAGTATGGATGGATATTATGTATGGAAGAACTTTCTTGGTCTCTATTTTTAACAATGAGCTATTGATGCCTCAATTGAGAAAATATTGTGGATTTATTGAAAATGTTAATGATGAGTGTGTTTTGTCAATTTAATATTTTTAAATATTCTAACAATTATGAATTCTCATAACTATTATTTCTTTTCAATACAATCATCCTTTGAATTAATAGCTCCTGATTGACTTATGTTGCATTTTATAAATTTATTATTAGGATTTATTTTATTGATAATTCATTATTAAATGGAGCGCTTTTAAAATTGAAAAAAAATAAATATTCAAGTTTTAATGGAATGAATTTTTTAATTTCAAAAATCCAGATTTATTGTGAAAATAATGTT